CCCAGAAAGCCCAAGTGGGCGAGCTCAAGGATGAAGATTTTGACCCCATATGTGAACTCGGCGTAGGTAACGGTGGGGTGGTCCACAAAGTCCGTCACAAACCCTCAAGACTGGTCATGGCCAGGAAGGTAAGCGATCGACAGACTTATGCACCTGCTGCTGGCTTGCTTACGGATGTGTTCAAAGGCTGAACGTTCTGTATTTTCTACAGCTTATTCATTTGGAAATCAAACCAGCCATCAGGAACCAGATCATACGAGAGCTGCAGGTCCTACATGAGTGTAATTCGCCGTACATTGTAGGTTTTTACGGCGCCTTTTACAGCGATGGAGAAATCAGCATCTGTATGGAGCACATGGTGGGACCAATGTTGTTGTTTAATGCTTATAGCATGAGTTCATAGCAGAAGTGTTACAGCACACTGACATGTATTTGTCCGCAGGATGGAGGTTCTTTGGATCAAGTGCTGAAGGAAGCCAGGAGAATCCCTGAAGAAATTTTGGGCAAAGTTAGCATAGCCGTAAGTATTACCAGTCTCCTCTGCTGTATCTGTGTCAAATAATGCTGTTTAGTTATTGATGACAAATGAACCATATTGACACATCAGTGATTAGTTGGTTAGCAAGGTCGACTAGTTTATCTAGATTTTTTTTAAAGCCTAACTGATCTTAGGTGTACTTTAATTGTATTAAATGTAAGGGCACTACTTGTTGAGGGTTGTAATGTGTTTACACTCAAACTCTCTGTTTTTGGCAGATGCCTTTGTTCAAAGTGTGGTTGAGGTAATTTTATCATTAGATAATGTTCTCCAAATTTGTGGCTTTTAACAAAATTACTGGTACAATTGCTGTTCAAATCAAATCTGATGTGAAGAATATTCTTATGCATGATCCTTAAGTCTTTGTTTTGTACAGATATAATTTTGAACTTATGTATTTGTTGAATATTTGTTAGTTACTCTGTATGACCCTTCACCAATTTTACTATAAGTGATTTCATAAGACCAACTAGTCATTCACACTAGTTTGTTTAAAACTATCTCTAATACTATTACCCAGCCATGTTGACTCTAATTGTTAGATTTCTAAGGTAGAATTGTTTTTTTTACGACAGAAAAAAATTATTTCTGCCATATAATTTTTTTTCTGTCAGTCTATGTTAGATATATTGCCCGATTTTGGATATTTAATTGTGCATGTTTTTCCCCATATTTTCTTAGCCATATTTTACTGCTCATTAAGAGTGAATTATTAAAAAAATGTTGTGATGTCTAAATCCAGTTTTAGCATTTAAAAAGATTTGTAGTTTATAGTGCTTTATTTTTGTCTCACTTAGACAAATAGGATTGTATTTCAATACCGTCCATTTCTTGGTTATCAGCCATAACATGGAAATAACTACCATCTTATCAGTATCAGGGAGAATTTTAATATTGGCGCGTCCCTAGAATATAGGTTACCTCTACCAACTTCTTGTTTTTTGGTGTCTGGTTAATTACAATAATTGTTTATCATTTTTGTAATACTTAATGTAAAGAAATTGTGCATGTACATGGGGAAATGCACATGTTAAAAGATTAGGTTATTGTGAAAGCTGTAGGAATGAAAAGAGAGCAACCTGCTTTTCTTCTTGTCTAAAAGCAGAATCCAAAAAAAAATGGTACACAACCTCCATCGTAACATGTCTGGCACTAGTACGCACAAACCGCAATTTAATAAAGCTGTGACCACACCCACAGATGTGCAAACTCCCTTTTAAGTCAGAGTCACCAAAACATGCACATTTTTCAACACACATTTAACTTATTCTTCCAAATGAATAGGGTTGAACTTCTGTTTCACATTTGATCATGACAAAACACAAACACTTTAACATGAAGTCCAAACAAAGGTGCAGCGATCTGTTTATGTGTGTGTCTGTACTGTTTTTTGCACGTGTGAGCGAATGCATCTCAGCTTTCAGTAATCACAAAGCAGAAGTTGTTTTGTAAAGACTAGAATATGTAACACGTTCTGTAAATTCAGGAAGCTAGATACCACATTGACCGTTGAGAGATAAACCCTGTTGATGACATCTATAACTCTCTTTCCACAGGTACTCAGAGGTCTGGTATATCTTCGGGAGAAACACCAAATAATGCACAGAGGTACACACAGAGCAACATTCCTTACTAATATCTTAGAAAACGTACATGTGCATACACGCGCTGGATGGCAGCAGGAAGTAGCCCCCTAATGCAGCTATTGAAATTGCATAAGAAGCTTAAAAATGATAATTATAGAGAGATTAGGCCTCACTTTTTCAAAGGTATTTACTGAAACTATAACCAGAGACCTTCATACAACTGCAAACCTGAGATTAAATGGAGCAAAGATATTGCAAAAGTTGATATTATTCCAATGCTAAACGTCAATCTTCTACAATTAAACGTTTTAAAACAAACACTACATTGGCATTTTTAGATTACAAGTTGTAGATCACAAGTTACCATAGAAATAGCTTCAGTGTCTCCAAGTGTGGCACAACCAACATTTGAACATTAATACTATGTCTGAAGATGCAAAGTATCAGTTTCTCTGTCAGGTTGTATGAGGGTCTGAAGGAGCCACACTGGGTTTGAAGGGTTAGACAGGGAGGGTCAGGCCTATAGTTGTGCTGTTGTGGCAGGGAGCGCTCGCCTGCTTGCGAGGAGCTGTCGAGGAGCCCAGCCGGTAATTGCAGCCTCTCGGATGTGATTACATGGCAGCCACACCCTGCAACCCCCTCCCTTCTTTTTCCTCTCCCACTCTCACCCCTCTGTCCACTCCCAGTGGGTGTTAGGGCTGAAGGAGGACCCGTCATGTGTGGAATCGTTGCATGTCTGCACTGTTATTTGCTCCTCTTGCCCTGTGTTTAAGAGGAGGGAGGTGGAAAGTGGCTTGCATGTCTGTCCTTTCTGCTTCAAAACGGTGTTGTCGGAGCTAGCTTTGCAGTATGCAGAGCATCTTGTGAAATGTTTTTGCTGGGCATGCTGGAGAAAGGGCATTTGAACGGGGATGGAAAGCCAGGTGGTGCCACTGGGATTTGGACCCCGGCACTCCATCTTACATGGTCTCTCTCTCTGGTCCCTACAGACGTTAAGCCCTCCAACATCCTGGTGAACTCGCGTGGCGAGATCAAACTGTGCGACTTTGGCGTGAGTGGCCAGCTCATCGACTCCATGGCCAACTCCTTCGTTGGAACACGGTCGTACATGTCGGTGAGTCACCCGCCCACTTCCCTCCCCAACCCCCAGTCCTTCTCATTCCAAGCCCTGTGCCGGTGCCCAGGATTCTTCCATGTGGAGAGGAGGAAGTCGCTGCCAGGTTTTAGCCCACTCCTCTTGGCCACCTGCAGGGTGTGGCGCCCCACCCATGTAGAGCTTTGACTTGCTCTCTGCTCTCTGCCTTGACAGCCGGAGAGACTCCAGGGCACACACTATTCAGTTCAGTCGGATGTGTGGAGCATGGGCCTATCACTGGTTGAGCTGGCTATTGGACGCTACCCCATCCCCCCTCCCGATGCCAAGGAACTGGAGGCCATATTTGGCCGGCCAGTGCTGGACACAGGTGGGGCAGAAGGCCACAGCATGTCCCCAAGACCGAGGCCTCCAGGACGACCGGTTAGCGGTAAGACCTTGTTTAATTTACCCAAACATTGGCATTGGTTTTATGCGCATTCGTTCTTCTCCACAGTCTGCGTAATATGCGTGTTTTAGTTGAGCCTTGCGAATTGTTTTCCCCAAGGACATGGAATGGACAGCAGGCCAGCCATGGCTATATTTGAGCTACTGGACTACATTGTCAATGAGGTCAGAGAATTTGCTTAGCGTGCAACTTACTTCCTTTGTGCTTATTTTTGCCTTCACTTCATGTTTTGATGTTTCACTTCAACATCACCCCTTTTTCTGCTCCCCACCTGTCTCTACATCTTGCAGCCACCACCTAAGCTGCCCCATGGCGTCTTCACCACTGACTTTGAGGAGTTTGTGACGAAATGGTGAGCTCCTGTGTGTTATCGCTGGTGTTTTTACTATACGAACCTGCAAAATCTTCAAAACGATATCTGAACTATGTCAAAGTTGGACCTCGATAAAAGGGCCGTAGTACAGGGATATCCATTCCAGCTTCTGGAGGTTCAACCTGCCCCAGCACACTTGCCTGGATGTTTCTAGTAATTCTGAAGACCACAATTAGCTGGTTCAGGTGTGTTTAATTAGGTTTGGTGCTAAACCCTGCAAGACAGTGGACCTCCAGGAGCAGGATTGGACACCTCTAGTGTAGTACAGTTTGGGGAATGCAGGTTTGAATCTGGACTGCATTGTTCCCAATCTCATAAGTTCTTCCTCTGTTCATTTCTTGTAAATCTTCACAGATTGCATTTAAATGTACTTTAAAAGTTCAGTCAGACTAACTTGTCCTTTTAAAACGTCACGCAAACAATTTGGTCTGACTGAAATCTACCAGTTCGGTTTTTGCAAAGTCGGACCAATTGATCTAGATAATGTAATTGTATCTTAGATTTGTCCGGTTTGTGCGCACACTTAATCTGACTACAGTTGGCCCCAGTGTTGTGCACTTGCTCCAAAAGAAAGTGTGACATTCAATGTCTGTTAAGACCTCCAAAAATGTGTTTAATGGGACTGGCAGATTAAGTCTACGCAAGGTAGCTTGACTATGCAAAAAAATAAAATATATATATATTAAAACAGTGATTGTAAAAATACTTACTGTCCGGTCAAATAAAGGCAACGCCTCCCTCTAGATTTCTGGGCTAATGTTTTATTAAATTTGGAATTTTATTTTGTCTTACTGATGTTTTTTTCTGTGTTTTTTTTTTTTTGACAGCCTCGTTAAGAACCCTGCTGACAGAGCTGACCTTAAGATGCTAATGGTAGGTACAATTCCCTGTATAGTTACAATTATATTAAATTTAAAAAAATTGTTTTTATGACAACATCTAGTGCAGTGTTTCCCAACCACTGTGCCACGGAAAATTATCAAAAACTTCCTTATCTCTATTATATTTTGTTATTATTATTTTAAATAATAATATTTGTGGGTTTTACAAATATTTAACCAATGAAAAGCATTCAAAAGAGCTTGTGACTAAACAACGCCATTGGATGCTCAAATTGTGAGTCAAACCTCATAACTCCACCCTGCCTCCATTCAGAATAAAGTGCCGCAACGCGCAGTTTGAAGACAGACGTCTACTTCTTTGCAACGCAAGGGTAAATAAAGAACTGTTTGAATAAGTACAGCGTTTACTTTATTCAAGAAACGCTGTCTATAAAGGCTAATGTTTTTGTGTTTAAAGAGCAGAGAAGAGTCTTAGCATTTGCTATCTAGTTGTAGCGAATACAATTTTGTATGTTTTAAATATCCTGTGCATAGTGGTTCGTCTTTTATATCTTAAGATTTTGGCCAAATGTATTAAACAAGAGAAACTGAGTGCCCATATAGATACAATAAACTTTATAATCTGCAAACTGATGAAAACGTGATGCTATTGTTTTACTGCATCAGATGCCGCCGTTCTAATAGACAAAACACAGATCTCTGTCATTCAGTCGTCAAAAACCTTTTCAGAAATTAAGTGCAAGTGTCTGATCATATATAAAGCCAAAATACCAACTCTGATTACGCAATGTTTAATTATTGAAATTTTTTATTTTTTTATTTTTTTAAATATGCTTTGGTGTGCCATGGGATTTTTTACATATCAAAACTGTGCCGTGGCAGAAAAAGGTTGGGAAACACTGATCTAGTGGAATAAAGTAGAAAGACTTAAAAGGATAATTCACCCAAAAATGAAAATTCTGTAATTAATTATCCACCCTCATGTCATTCCAAATCCGTAAGATCTTTGTTTATCTTCAAAACACAAATTAAGATATTTTTAATGAAATCCGAGAGCTTTCTGACCCTACATAGACAGCAACACAACTACCACATTCAAGGCCCAGAAAGGTAGTAAGGACATCGTTAAAATAGTCCATGCCACATTAGTGGTTCAACCATAATTTTATGAAGCTACGAGAATACTTTTTGTGCACACGCATGAGTCGTGGTACTCTAATGAACGTGTGTGGTGGAGATTGACACGGAAGAGAGGAAATTGTTGAATAAAGTTATTTTTGTTTTCTTTGCGCACAAACAGTATTCTCATAGCTTCAAACCATTACGGTTGAACCACTGATGTCACATGGACCGTTTTAACAATGTCCTTACTACTTTTCTGGGCTTTGAACGTGGTAGTTGCGTTGCTGTCTATGCAGGGTCAGAAAACTCGGATTTCGTCAAAAATATTTTCATTTGTGTTCTGAAGAAGAACGAAGGTCTTACGGGTTTGGAACGACATGAGTGGTTTAATTAATTGCAGAATTTTCATTTTGGGTGAACTATCCCTTTAGAGAGAGAGCTTTTTGGAGTAACAACACATCCAGTTTGTCAGTTTTTGGCCATGTTAGTACAGCAATTAGCTCTAGTTACAACTTGATTTTGAAATGTTTTCCCCTTTGCACTCAGTATAGTACTGACTGTAGGTGCTCATAGCAGGAATATCACGATGCATTGTAGAATATAATGCATTACAGACATAATACTTATAGGGGTAAATTTATGTATACGTAGTGAGAATCAAGGTAGGATGTACTGAAAATAAAATTAATGATATTTAATAAAAAATAATTATAAAATTAATTGGTATTCATTTGCAGGGCCACACGTTCATCAAGCGGGCCGAGGTTGAGGAGGTGGATTTCGCTGGATGGTTGTGTAAAACCATGGGCCTTCACCAGCCCAGCACACCCACTCATAGTGTTGAGTGAACGCTGGCTCACATGCCATCCTCATCCTCCGCTCTACTTCTCTCCTTTTTGCTCTCACAGACCTGTATGCTTGTAAGCCTCCGACACACCGCTGTGCGCTCTTTTGCCGTTCTCTGCTTACTCTTCCCTTCCACCGCGGTGCGTTCTGGGGCATTGTTTTATAAGAGCTTCTGGTGTTGGAACACAGTCATTTGAATGAATATGGAGATTAGAATCACTTAAGTGGAGTGGCTGTATTTGTAACGACCACATTATTCAGGAATGTCCAAATTGGTAAAGATCAGCTAGGTTTCGTTTGTATAAGAGCTATTTCATTAGAATTATGATGTTTTTGTTTACTTTTCATGGTTGGTTTATTAAATCATTATATTGTTTTTTTTTTTTTTTTTTGCTAAAGCACTATTCTTTGGCAGTTAGCGTTACACTGTGTTAAAATGGATAGCTTGGTTCAAAGGCAAACATTTAATTGAGAATCAACTGGCGTTTGCAAAAAAAAACAAAGAGGGCTACTGTGGATCATAGAGGTTAGTTTATTTCAAAGATGATTATAAATGCAAAATGGCCAAATCAGCAATGCTGAAGTGCATACGTACAGTTGTTTAGCTTGTGCATTGCAGGTAGCACTGCTAGTACACAGCCAAGTACTCCATCATGCCAACCAATGGCCATGTTGTAAGTTTGCACACATTAGCAAAAAGAAACATAAGCTTAATTAGAGTTCCTGTATCAGATGCCCTTTGTCCTACTGCTGTGCCTGTGAAAAAGATCAGTCATTTAATATTCAGAAATCTATACTGTTTTTTTTGGGGGGGGGGTATTTTCAACTTAAAATCATCTTCAGAAGGGTATATTTGGGAAGAATTATTGTTTATAACTTATGCTTCAGTGTTCTTTTTTTCTTTTTTAATTGAAACCTAAAATTTCTTGCTTTTGATTTCAAGTTTGAATACAACCAGGGTTGCATCTATCTTTACAGTGCTTTTACAATAGGCCCGATGAATTTAAACGCATCAAAATTATTTCAACCAAGACCACAACAGGTACACTCATAGTCTGGTCTTCAGTGGTATATAAAGTGCAAAGTAACGTCTCAGGCCACCATGTACAGTGCTATGCAGATCAAATGAACCTCAGCAGATATTGCTGTATTAGTAGGTCTTATTAATACACGGGTGTTACAGATGGGCATTGTGAAGTGTGGCTAAAGCCCACTTGCTCTAAATAGCTTTTTTTTCTCTTTCTCTAGTACTTTTCAGTAACATTGAAACTGTATTACACACTGGCATTCAGCTCCGACCAAGTGAATGCATGTATCGCCACACGTGTATAAAATATATGTACAGTACAAATGGTACTGTTTTCAGTCTTAAAATAGCATTTTATTTGATTGTTTTTTGTTGTTTGTTTTGGGAATAGTTAAGTGAAGAGGATACAAGTCATTTTATTACCATATGGAATGTGTTGAATACAGTTCTAATATAAAAATAAAACTTATTTGTGAATGATTATTTGGCTGTAGTTGTTGTCGTCAGTCTCAATGTTTTGGATAATGTTTAAAGATTTTATTGCAGTGTACTATATTTAATGTGAATTGTTAAAGAATAAGAGTGAACATTTCATTACATAATTTGAAATATAAGGCTTATATTAAAAATATAGATAGCTAGAAAAAACATGTGATTTGCATTATAGCTGTTAATTTCTGGTATATTTTTTGCATGGCTGTGATAACAACCAGTACTGGAAGATGCATATTATAAAATGGTTTATTAATGATATATAATGTATTATAATTTTTGTAATCTAAATTAAGTCAATGGTAATACAGCTAACATACTTTGTACATGTAAAATTGTGGCATGTTTTGAAAACGTAAAAAAAAGTAGATAACCATTTAGCCAATGCTTCAAGGCTGCTCGCCAGTTAGGGAAGAGCTGTTACAAAACCAAGCTTCAGAGAGATGTTTTATAAAATACTTTGGCATACGTTTCTGAAAATGTGTGCAAAAATATGAATTTAGTAACTTGAAATGCACCTTTACAGCTTCCTTTAATTACGAATTAGTTTTAAGTGTCCCAGTTATACTGCCCTCTGTGTCTGGTGTGCGTTAGTTCATCATGCTTGTCTCCTACTTAATACTTCAGCATTTAAGCACAACTCAGTGTCATACACAATTACGCTCCTTTGCGTCCACTCCCTGTTTTACGGGAGAGTCCTCAATTGTACAGTCACTCTTAGAGAGGTCATATACTGCTCCTCCTATTTTTGAGAACTTTCAGTCCAGCAGCAGGTAAGCGGGTGAACGGGTCTCTTAAGTGGTGGAGGATAATCCATGTCTGTCCCGCTGGTCGACTGCACACATCGCTTCTTTCAGCATGATTTTGGTGAGTATGGAGAATCACAGTACACATTTAGTTGTTTGGTTATTTTTAATGACTGTTTGTAGTGTTTTGGAGGATTCGGTTGTTACATGTAAAGAAGGAAGACGTATCAAAAAGGTGAAGCAGTAAGTGGATGGTGTCACTTCTATCCGACGACCCCTTGAGTGTAGGGTACACTATGAGCTGTATTAGTTTGAGACAGTGGAGGGTGTGTGTAGATGTATTGTTAACTCATTATTTTGGCACACGCGCTCACCTAAAGTACACGTGCAACACCCCTGCAAACTACTTTATACAAATACAGGCCGGTTTTACCAGCGATATCCTTGTGAACCTTGTGTTGTTTTCATGTCATGAGTGATGGTGGCCACTATGGCATGATAACAACCTTTTACTGTATTCCCCAGAGAGGAGCAGAGGAGAACAGCATGGGGGAATGCTGTTTCTTTAAGAGAGAGGGAGCGTGAGAGAGAGAGAGAAAGGGAGGGACCTTTTTGCCCTCCAGAAACCAGGAAGGGAACTGAGTTGATCTGCTGGTGCTTGGTTAGCGCATACAGAGCTTTGAACAGCAGGGACAGCTAAGAGAGAGAGAGCTCCACAGAGGAGGAGAGAAGAGGAGGGAAGAGCTAACCCATTGCAAGCACCGCCACGGCCATAGCAGGTGAGCTCGTTTCCCCTGCTTGTCCCCCGTGTCATCTGCCCAGGGCCTATCGACTGAAGGTAGCAAGGCTGAGGAGGAAGGAATGAGGGAGGGAGGGGGACAGAGAGGAGAGAGAGAGAGTATGTGTGTGGGGGGTAGGAGGGGGCTCCAGTGAGGAATTATTCCTCTTTTTCTTTGGTCTTCCGAGTAACTGATTTGGTACACCTTCGGTTCACTGGCATTGCTTAAATAAACTTTTTTTTTTTGTTCTTACTGTTAACTTTTTTTGTTGTTGTTTTGGAGACAGCCCTTGAGGGGTGTGTTTGTCGGAGGTTAGACAAGGAGAATATAGTAGGAAGGAACCAAAAATAATTCCATAGGACAAGGTACAGTGCTATGCACTGGGGTCTGCTTTTTTTTAAACCTTTGTTATCATTCATTAAGAAACAAACTCTGATAACTTGTGCATGCACCTTTGGCTTTTTTCTTCCAGTCTCAAATTGCATTTACACTGTTTACTGTTATGATGGAATATTTTAGGTTAAAAAACAAAAGTCTAATTTGGGTCAAGAATGCTGAATATGTCAGATGATGTAGGGTGACAATATAAATGTATTGTATTAAAGTTCTACAGAGTTGTGTTTGGATCCCTTTGCCTTTTCTCATATGTACAGCGCTTGGCACTGCTTGTTGGCTGGTCTGTACTTTTAATACCTGGCATCCTGCTAGCAACACACGGTAATGTATAATTCAGCTCTGAATGCTTACGTTGAAGCAAGCTCTTAGATGTGGGGGTGGCAAGAGCAAACAGTTTGGGACTTGTAGTTCTTAGCAGTGGCCTAGAAGCAGGTGAAGTCATACTTAAGGACTGCGCTTCCCAGAGTGCCTTGCCCTTGGCTATACAGGAAAGGGAACAGCCGGTAGCCTATCCTAGTGGGGAGGTGTGGTGATTGAGGAGCGGGCAAGCCAATCACAGAGGGGGAAGTGAAGCCAGAGCAGTGGGCTGAAAATAGAGTGGGGGAGTTAGTAGGTGTCTGCCTGTGTGGGATCAGGCAAGGGCTTGCCTGTGTAACTAGGGCCACTCTGAAGTTTCCTGTCTGCAGTTTCTCCAGACCAGAGCCCTGCCCAGGCACAGAGGCAGGCAGGCAGAGGGAGACTGAGCTGACCCACAGGGAAACAAAATTCTGGCCAGCCGGTAAGAGCTCCAAATGCACTCTCACTCTCTCTGGTGTCTGACACGGGAAAGGCAAGCTAGAAGAGAAATAATGGAATCTTAAAAGGGGAAAGAGAGGGACTTGGCTTGATTAAGTTCAGAGCGCTTGACCCACTTGCAGATGGCATAGAGATGGAAAACGGAGGCCTGCTGTATTAAGGTATGACTTGGTGAGATTCTGTGCAGCGAGTTTTAACTAAACTCTGTCTTTGTTGTGATTCTTATTTTTATCTGATCTGACTGTTACAAATTGCCATTTAATAAAATAAATAATAATAATATATTTTCAAGAAGACTGATTTAATTTTAGTCACAAAAGGTTGGGTTTAACACTGGTGGACTCTGGTGAAATGGTTTCAAATAAAGTGAAATTCACATCAAAGACATCCTGCTCATTGAGATCTCTAAGAACCTTAGACTTTGGAAAGTTTTTCCGCTTCTGTTGGCAGATCCCTTGTAGGCTTCTCTGCCCCCTCATTCTTTTTATAGTTGTTCCATAATGCACATCAACATCATCTCCTTTGGTAAGGGTCTTTAACAGGGTCTCATGACTTGTCAAATAAGAAGACTGCATGTTTGTCCTGGACACAAAGGCGTTGCAGGAAGCTGCAGTCTCTTTTTTTTTTTATTCAAAGATGTATGCAGATAATTTCCAACCCATACTTGCTCGACTCGTTTTCACTAGTGCGGGTACAGGGAGGACGCAAGGGGTATTTTTATTCACAGATGACGCCCAGTGTCTGAATAATGCACAGACAAGGCTCCTTGTCTCACTGGGGTGAGGCCGATCTTTATTGTCTTTTGCTTGTTTAAGTGGCAAAGAGATTCTTACCCACCATAAACCAGTTAACCTTGTACGTAGTTAAATTACCTAACGGGGTCGTTTCAGGTCAGCATTTATGATAGGTAATGTATGTGTGAACTTCATGCTGATACACATCATGCAGTGTTTTTTTTTTCTTTTGTATTATCTTGATGCGTTGTGTTATTTCACTAAGTATGTGTTTTGCTATGTCTATGACATTTCAGATTTTTATAAGCTTTTTAGAAGCTGACTTAATATTTGTTTTGTTTGCCTTTATTTAAAGTTTCACTTGCTAGACATCCAGTGTGAATTGTTTAGGTTTTTATGCACTTGTATGTATGAGATATTTGACTAGCTTTTGAATGCTTATGAAATACACATTTTATTTGAACTTTCACTATCCTTTTGAAAAGTTATGTAAAATTGTGGTCTGTTATGAAGACATATAAAGCATCTATTTTTGCATCCTTGTGCGGTGCAGGACTGAGGGCTGAAGGCACTAGAAGTTACCAGCTACTGTTTGGCCAAAAAGTATAATTCTAACGCTAAAGTAATCTTTGAGCTTTTTGAACACACTTTGAATTGGCTCTCTGAACAAGGTTTAGTTTTATAACGTCTGGGGGACGGTGGACGTTTGTGAAACATTTTTGAATTGATCAAATTAAAGACTGATGCTGGGAGATGGGCTGCTGCAAGCTAGCATCACTATCGGTAATCAGAGAGCTCATCTCATTATTCTCTCATTGCACTCTTTAAAGGGCCTTCTTCCACTTGTTCTTATCTGCTGAGAGTCTGTCGACAATGAGTGAGGCCTTCTTGGTTTCCTTGACAGTAATGTGGAATCCAATTGCTGTAAGTTTATGCTCTCGCCCCCATTTGCTATTATGGAGCTCGACCTCCAGCAGGAGGAGGAGTCCTTGACATACTTACCTTAGTGCGATCGTTCAGAGATATGCTGGGAGGTAGAGCTGAAAAAGAAAATCCTGGGTGGGTTGTCACGTCTTTTTGCCTCAGCAGAGGCAGAAGAGGGAAGTGGAAGCTGTGGTGGACTGGTGGTGGAGTGTGCAGTGCAGTGTCTGGGAGAGCTGGTCATCTGATAACAGAGCGGGTTCTGTTACACCATCACCAGAGTCACGCAGGAAGTCTTCTTCCGCCCAACCGGCCAGGCTGCCGCTGCAGCAAAAGAGCGGCCTTCTTCCACTTGTTCTTATCTGCTGAGAGTCTGTCGACAATGAGTGAGGCCTTCTTGGTTTCCTTGACAGTAATGTGGAATCCAATTGCTGTAAGTTTATGCTCTCGCCCCCATTTGCTATTATGGAGCTCGACCTCCAGCAGGAGGAGGAGTCCTTGACATACTTACCTTAGTGCGATCGTTCAGAGATATGCTGGGAGGTAGAGCTGAAAAAGAAAATCCTGGGTGGGTTGTCACGTCTTTTTGCCTCAGCAGAGGCAGAAGAGGGAAGTGGAAGCTGTGGTGGACTGGTGGTGGAGTGTGCAGTGCAGTGTCTGGGAGGGCTGGTCATCTGATAACAGAGCGGGTTCTGTTACGCCATCACCAGAGTCATGCAGGAAATCTTCTTCTGCTCAACCGGCCAGGCTGTCAACCTAGTGTAGTGACTCCACTTCCCTCCCTCATGAGGCAGGAGGCGCTAATCACACAAACACACACACTAGCTTGTACATACATACTGAGTGGACATGCATGTCAGAGGGATGCCCTGTGTACATAAGTCACATGTTTGTCATTAATCCTCTCAAAAGATTCTTTCGAAGGATTCCCAAGCTCTTGAGAAATACACAGTGAAAGGTATGACTGACAAAGAAAGAAAGTTAATAGAAAGACACCAAAGTGTTCCTTAAAACCCTGCTGCTTGTTTTGGTTTATGTCATAAGTCAATGTGTGTTCCTGGAATGTGTGGCATGTGCTTGCCTGAGATGTTTCATTCTGGGGTGTCAGTTTTCGGTTCATATAATGAGCAAGTAAATTTACCGTTTGGTGTCTTTTGCTCGATAAGCGTTGTTTTAGAGTTAAGAAATTAATCACAAAACACATTAAATACCCTTGACACAATTTGATTGACAGTAGTTACCTCATGATTCTCGTAAAAAGATTTTACTGTGTTGGCGGTGTTATTTCCAACTGATTACACAATTCTGAACTATTTCTGAACTAGTTATATTGTAACCTTACATACCAATATGTAATGTGCTAGTTGAACTTCTAAACTCATTTAGTTTACACTTGACCAGATAAATTTAAACAATTCAAATACTCAGTTACAGTTTGACTGTATCTGAAATCTATTTTCGATAGCCTCACTTCACATTGGCTGGGAGGGGCTGTTAGGGGAGGGTGGGGGCTGGGGTGGGATGAGTATTCGCAGTAACTTGTGGTTTGACTTGCAAAGTAGTTGAGGCCTGTGCGTGCGGCCATCAGAAGAGGTCGGAAATGAGACGTTGGGGCCGTTGCACGGCCCCTGTCACCCATAGCCATGAATAAGTGATGAAGAATGTTGGGAGCCCTGAGAAGGTGTCAGGATCAGGTTTGTTTGCACTGTTTCCTCTTTCTTTCAGCTTTGCCCTGGGTTTATTCAGGGACAGAGATGCTGCTTAACTGGTGCCTTGCTATTACCCACAAGCTGAAGTGCAGAGAGATGACATTTGGTTTTAAGTGTCCATTCTAAGAAACCCCCTTATGATAGCAAAACTACTCTTGCTCTTTTTCTCTGAAATTCTTTTTTTTTTTTCAGAATTTCTGATTTTATGGGTTTTTCCAGGTGTGGCACAGGTTCCTTGTGAATCAAGGTAAATTGTCTGATCTGAAACGGTATATTTTAGTGTTTAATGAGACCAAAATTGAAAAATTCTGTGATCATCTACTCACTCGCATACGCATTTACGCACCCTCATGGGGGGTCATGAGGAACCAGACCTGGAAACACTTGTTGTCTAACCCAACCTCCAGCCTGGCTTCTACCTTAACTTATTCAAATTCTCTGCAATAAAACAATGAGATAGAATGTACCTGTTAGTCAAGCAGATGGAGTGGGGTGGGGGTTATTAGAGAGACAACAGAAAACCAAAGAGCTTGCCCTACAGGTGACCATCACTTAGCTCAAAGGTGAAGGGAAAGACAGAACGAGAAGGGCTTAAGCCATTGGCTTATGGGCATTACCATCTAACTTAAACAAATCAAGACGTGGTCCAGTGGGGGACTATTATTGGAATGGCTCCTTTGAAGTGTGCTATATAGAATTGTGTAGTGCATATGTGCCCTAGATTATGGTATTTTCATCATATTCTGTCACTGAACTCTAACTGTATTTGCTAAAGTCAGATGGCATGAAAAAATGACAGCCTTGTGCAAGCGTGAGAGAGAGGGAGAGCGAGAGAGAGAGAGCAAGCAGCCAGGTTTAGCAGGTCTTGCATACATACCAAGGGGCTTGATCTGAAGGAATGTAATTTGAATGCATTGCTCTTATTGAGTATAATCCCCCTGTGGCCTGACCCCCTGCTGGGTCACTCTGGCAGATGGAGGGGCGGGGGGGTAGTTAGGCTGTTTGGTGTTCGCTCGTAAGCGTGTGTTTGCCAATGGACAAATCCAGGAGGGTTGCCTTTCATAGCCCCCCTCCATCTACCCTCGCCTGTACTGCGGTCGATCATTTTAATTTCCCCCCACACGTGATCAAGGGGACAGGCCTTTCCTGAAACTTGGCACACAGTGCAGGGTGGGGTAACCGGCTCAGACCGGATTGACAACCTCCCTATTTAATACTGTTCCCTTGCAGCCCTGCGTGTGTCCTCCTACTCTTCCTCCTCCTCTAGTGAATTTTTTTTCCACTCGGGCCTTTAGCCGGCAACCCCCTTCCCCAGAAGCCAACTGACACGCAATTCAGTGCACATGATGCCCAGCCTATTCTATGTGCTGTGCACTCCCCCACCCCAGCAAAGCTGCACAGTACAGATTCTCCTTTTCCACTGCCATCATGACAGCAGGCTTGCCACCCTCTGACATGCTGCTACATTTGAATGCAGTTAACACCCTGAACTGATTGCTGTAAACTAGAAGGCTGTTTAAAGTGCTTTTCAAGACAGATTAAAGTCTCAACTGCCACAGGTTGAAGTCAAACAACATCTTTTTGACAGCATCACCAGATGTTGTACATAACCTGTAGATTGTTTGATTGTTATAAAGACCACTTTAAAGCAACATTTTGGCACCATCAAATAGATAACGTTAGGCAAACGTTTTTAATAGTGAAAAAGAAACTGAGAAGGTGAACTGAACTATCTGTTCTGTAATAGTACATGGTGTTAAAAAACATGTCATTATCATATGCATAATTGATACCTTTTCTTCATTTCAATAATTACACCAATTCCCCATGGACTTTAAAATAAGTCTTGCAACCAGCACATTGTGTATTTACAGCCATGACTTGTCAGAATATCCCTTTATAACTTGATGCTTCCATTTGTGGTTTGGATAATCTTGACCAGTGGTCTTTATTATAGTAGCAACCATTTGGCCACTATCTATTAGCCTCTCTGCTTCATTTGCATACAGGGCTTGGCAATGCTACCCTGGATGGTAATAGAGTGCAACAAGAATGTACAGCATAAATATGGTCCAAACATAAAGTATTAGTATAGTACAGTATTAAGCATAGTATAGTATTAAGCAGCAGCATGAATTGACCATTCGCAAAGAGCTTGATTGACAGGCGATCTGACCAATCAGAATGCGGATATTATGTGCCGCCACTACTATCTGCCATCTTGTCCAACATCTACGGCCGGTCTCCATAGAAATCCATGTTAAAACGGTGTAAAAAAGATCAACTGAATTGAAACTTTTTCAATATAACTAAATATAAATATGTGCGGAGGGTTAAGCTGTGCTGTTGTTGGCTGCCACAGTAATGGTAATAAGGTAAGGAATTCCTTTAAAGTACTTGTTTTGCATACCAGAAAATCTGTCATGTCCGGCGCTGTATGCATGGCTTGCAGCGCTTAAGTTAAAATACTGAGTGTGAAATAATAAAATATGTTAAAACGTGTGCTCATCATTCTGTGGACAAAATCCCGTGAACTTTGCCCAATCGGGAGCTGTATATACACGTGCTCATCTGTTTTCAATGCAGCTAACCTCGCGTTGCTTCATGTCATCTTCCCACTCATTAAACTATGACAGGTCCTTTACTGCAAAAAGACGGTCATTGCGACACTGTAAAGTGATGAAACTATGGCGCCATGTGCTTTTTTATACCATTTTCATAGGTTTCACGTTATATTGTTGGCTCGGAAAATATGTAAGTGCGCATGCCCAGTAGCCGCAGCTGTATCCTTTCTAGCCTTAACCACAAATCAGACAGGAGAGTAGATTAACTTCAGTGGACTTAATCTTGAAAAATGGTATGTTCCACGGTTGACATAAAATACTTTCTGATGTTTATTTATGTTCATTTCGTGCTTTACGTAAATATGAAAAGACGACGGGTTCACGTGTTTGAACTGAGGCAATACAGTGATCTGTCACGACACATTGAAGAGCCACAAAATGGTATTTATTGTTTGAATTTCTTTAAAAATGACAAAATTTGAAAGCTGAGAGTCCGGAGACCTTGTTTCATATCAGAAGTAACCTGCTCTGTATTGTCTGTCGGCGTGTTGTCACTTTCCTCTTTGCTCTGCGATGTATTTTTCACTGCGTGAGAACATGATGTGTAGTGTGAGAGCGGCATTGTTTGTCAGAGATAGCAGCAGTAACTAAGGAGGGCGGGTCTTTGCGAACGGTCAATTGAGCTCTTCAGGTCATTTGTGAAAAAGTTTTAGATTGGCGAGTTTAAAAAATACTTGAAAAATGTTTCTCCCTACTTTGTAGTAGTTTTATGTAAAACATTTAGCCTCAATTTAATATAACATATCTTTTATTCTATGTCACTTTATGATTAGTAACTGTTATTGTTCCTCAACATTCTTAGACAGGCAGACGGACAGACGGCAGGACGGACGGACGGGTGGCGGCTGCGATTGGCGGCTCGGCGGCAGGCTGGTGGAAAATGTCGTCGGGAGCAGGTGGGCGGGGAAGACGTGAGGCAAGGGCCTGTGGGGGTGCAGGCGAGGTAGAGGAAGGACCAGTGGGCATCCCCTTCCCCGAGCACAGTGCTGACCTGCTGGGCAGTCTCAATCGGCAACGGTTGAGTGGGCTGCTGTGTGACGTGCTACTAGTGGCTCAAGAGAGAGAATTCCCTGCCCACCGCTCCGTGTTGGCTTCCTGCAGCACCTACTTCCACAAGCTTTTCACCTCGGGCCTGGCTGCTGACCGCCAGAAAGTCTATGCGCTGGACTTTGTGCGGCCTGAGGCGCTGGCCGCCCTCTTGGACTTTGCCTACACGGCCACACTCACAGTCAGCCGCAACAGTGTGGTTGACATCTTAAGCGCCGCCCGTGTGCTGGAGATCTCACCCGTCCAAGACGTCTGCACACACCTGCTGGACACCAAAGTGCTCTCCCCGCTGGTGGGTAATGTGTTTTTTACAAGTTGACTAATGAATGTTTCGGAGCGATATGATGATGTAGTCCCATTTCTTTTTACAGGCGGGCAGTGAGCAAGAAGAAGACCAGGAAGAGGAGGAGCGAGGTAAGAATGGAAAAGAGCAGGGCATTTGGCTGCGTGCCCGTGAGTACTTGGAGTTCTTCCAGAGGGGGGCGCATTGGGGTAGCAGCTGCAGCACGCCAGAGCTCAGGGACCTGCCCGCACACCTGCACTTTAGCCAACGCAATGGCGCTGACAGCAATGGCATGCCCATCGGCCCTGCTGACTACTACTCCTCACTGGCCCAAGCCCTATCACAGCCGCCTCGTGACCCCGAAGACGAGAATGTGGATGAGGAGTGCCAGGATGGACCTTCAGTTCTAGCTCGAGGGAAAAGTGCAGAGGCTATGATGTCCCTTTATGCTCCTACTCAGAATGGACATTACTACCTGCCCAAATCAGAGAGAGAGGTGGAGGGGACAGATGAGCGGGAGCACGAACAAGGCCCAGCTAGTGCTTTGCTACAACAGATGATGGACTCCTTGGAGCGGAAAAGGGAACAGGCCACGGAAGGTGGTGGGGGTGAGGAGGATGGGCCGGAGGGCGAAGAGCCAGACGTGGAGTTTTACTTGAAGTACTTTAATAGTGTGCAGCATGAGGAAGCCACCAGTGCCCCCATGTCTCCAAGTTTGCTACCACTGTGGTCATTAAGGGGCAACGGAGGTGGAAACCAAGCGACTGGAGGGGGTAACAACAGTGAGAGGAAGATGCGCTCTAAGGCCTTCCAGAAGTGCCCTATCTGCTCCAAAGTCATCCAAGGTGCAGGCAAGCTTCCACGCCACATCCGTACACACACAGGAGAAAAGCCCTACGAGTGCGCCATCTGCAAAGTGCGATTCACCAGGTAAGCCTTTTTTTGTAATTTTGGTTTTGTCTTTGGGAAAATTGAGAGTTCAGTTTGTATTTTTACATACACTTTAGCATCTTGTGTGCTATCAAATTTACATGGTCAGGTATTCAGTACACTAAAGAGAGCACAGTCAGCCATAAAGTTGTGTTTTATGTTGACAGAAAGGCTGCATGACAAAGTCCTGGAATTTTAACAAGAGGGGTCCAATAAAAGTGGGTTGTGGTAGCACAGCCTGGTCTACTGTTATCAGGGATGAGGCTGTTATAAAACTCTCCATGGCGATATTGAAAGGGATTACAGCACGGTGGCCTATCTACGCCAGTGAGTCAGCTGAACTTGTGACCCTGGGTGTTACGTTGATTATTGCCCCTGGCAAATACAGCCCCTCTTTCAGACAAATGGCTGATGAAAAATACTGTGTGAATCTCTGTTAGCAAACTGCTAGCATGGCTTACCCTGCACTTAAGGGCATCACCTCTTCCATGAAACCATCGCCTTAATTAATTAATCAGGAGACACGCATTGGAAATAGACACTGCGCCAAAAATATCCAGTACCCTATTTGCGTAGAGATGGATCTAAATTTGCCACCTAAATACGCCACCTATTGGGAAGGGGTACTGTAATCTTAATCCTGTTTGATCAGGGTTAAGAGTGCGTTTCACTCACACTGCAATAAGTCAATCCTATCTTGTAAATAATTAATCTCTCTGTGCCCCACTCTGTAACATTGTGTGTATGTGTGTGAAAACACGTTTTCTAACAGGCGTGTATGTATATACCTTCCATATTTTGGTGAATGTATGCAAAAGTGAAGAAAAGATGAGAAATTATGAGTGAAAGAATACATTCAAACATGTTTAAATACACAAGTAGGCGTCAACGTGTGCACATGTCTGTGTTTACATACTCGGGTGTGTGTCTGTCCATGGACGCATGTGAGTGCGAATGTGTTCGGTAAGCCTCCAGTATTCTGGATGGGTCAACCACCCTAGTTTGTTTAGTTGTACTCTGCCCCGGTCACAAGCTTAGGGGGAGGGACGGAGAAGGGTAAGCTGAGAGCAGAGTCTTACAACAGAGGGCCTTGCATTTGACACCACACTATATGTAGCTCCCTTATTGGTGCAAAACAATACATTTTGACAGTATGCTGTCTCTTGTTGAAGAAAGCCTACTCTTTAGCCATTTAGACCTGTTTGCCTCAGGTGGTGTGTCAGAAGTCAGAAATGTATATAAACTGATGACCAGCACAAAAGTTAATTTTGTTAGATTAACATTTAAGAAATATAGAGTAAAATTTGGTTACAAATTTTGTAGTGTTAATGGTGCTTTGAAATGGTTGGAGGACAATTGAGGAAAGACATTAAAGGTTAAACCACGTTCTTCCAAACCTGTTCCTCAACCCAGCACACCTTTTGATTTTCAATCTTACACTGGTTTCTTCCCAGAAACTAAAAACTCTCCTCAGCTGAACTCAGCTCAGCTGCCACTGAAGATTTTAAATTTTGCTTGTAAAACAAGAGTTCACCATTTTTAAATGGCTCTTTTGGGAAACTTAGGGCCTACTATGACTCTGAACTGAACATTGAGCCCTTCAGTGCCTCATTGGCCTAAAAATAAATTATGGTGATAAAGCTGTGAGCTTTATGGCTCTTTTCCTCATACGACCTTGGGTGCTTTCAGCACAGAAGAATGATAAATAAACTTGACTTTACTCTTAAAAGTAAAGATAAGGAGGTCAGACTCCTTTTGCGGATACATGTTGTCTTTGATGTGCAAGAACAGACAGATATGTGTATTTACATCGTTAGATTTTTGTGTTTATGTGTAGTTTATATAATATATGTGTGCATGCATGTTTGCCTTTGCTAATGATCTGTGTGGCCAACCTTACCGGTATGTCTTGTAATTCAACATCAGGCAGTAGTTAGTGACTCACCCAACTATCATAAATGGTCTTTCTGGCACATCAAGTAATTTGGGAGTGGGCATTTTAAGGAATTATAAGTGTATTAAGTTAGCATGTATTCATGTATCATGGTGATGTTTTGTTAAAATTCTAACCTTCAATTACTGTTGAGTCTGTCATTGTTAGTTCGGTTGCCCTTAATTTTACAGTACATAAACTTATCTGTACTTACAGTGTACTTACCTAAGGAAGTACTGGATAATATAAGGTAACTGCATGGGTTAGGATTAGTAGGTTTAGAAGTAGGTTCAGGGTTAGTACCAAGTTATTGAAATTACTATAACAAGCACATATTACATGCGGAACAGGACTGCAAAACAAAGGGCTACTGTTAATTTGTTTAATTCACACAAACCCATGGGTAGCGGCTCATCAGAAGTTTTTGTATTCTCTTTTCCAGGCAGGACAAGCTAAAGGTTCATATGCGCAAGCATACAGGAGAGAAACCTTACCCGTGTACTCAGTGTGGTGCCGCCTTTGCCCACAACTACGACCTGAAGAATCACATGCGTGTGCACACAGGCTTGCGCCCCTACCAGTGCTCCAGCTGTTTTAAAACCTTTGTGCGCTCAGACCATCTCCACCGCCATCTCAAGAAAGATGGCTGCAACGGCATCCCTTCCCGTCGAGGCCGCAAGCCACGCATACGAGATTCTGAGCTCCTGGAAGGTCCTATGGAACTTCATGGCCCAGAAGCAGACATCGAGAGAGGTCAGCGGCATCCGGACAGGGGCACCGGAACATCAGTCATGGAGGAAAATTATGGTAGTCACACACACAGTCCAGTTGCCGATGGGGAAGGTAGTGAAGATTTGACCTCGGGACAAAGGAACTCCGCAACAACATGAATCAATCTTCATCAGAGAGGGCTTTACTCAAAAACAAGAGGAAGAATGAAACAGAAAAATAAGAAAAACAAAAAAAACTTAACTACAAAAACTACATGGTCCTCTTTAAAAAAACAAATCAGGGTGTCACGCAAATCTAATCTTCTAGTTTCTTTTTCCTCCTTTTTTAGCTTCTGCATTCCGCATAGAGACTTAAGGAGTCTGTTGGAAGAGCGAAGAGCACTTCAAATCACTCACCCGTGCTGTCACCATCTTTCTGGGTCTTTGTGTTGGTGTTTTTTGTAACATAATGGCATAGTCATGTGCGTACGAGAAAAAGCTACTATGCAGTTTAAACAAGTTCCTCATCTCTGGGTTGCATCTACAGGGCCTTGTCTTAAAGTAAGGTGTCAAACACCAGGCTGACTGCTGCTTCAACAGGTTAGCTATGAATGGTCTAAGATGTGATCAAGGCAACAAATAGATCTCTTTTTCTAATGCAATGAGCAACATGTACATACACTATAAAAAATATATTGTCTCAGATTGCAATATATACAATATTCTGATGCAGCACCTTTTTTCTAAATGTTCCAGAAAGAATCGGACAGGGGTTTGATTTAAAGTGTTACTTTCTCTATAAAAGGTGTTTTTTGAGAGTTTATCCTTTCATGGTGTAACAGGTTACCGTTTTGAGTTGAATCTACATGGGGAGATTTCGTTAATTTGTTTCTGGCAGGGAGAGGGTAAGACAAGGGATGAGGTCCTGTGTTTCTAAAGCACTACCTTCATCTGATCGCCACTGGGCACAATCATGTTAAATCTTACCTCTCACAACCCTGCTTTTCCTTATTGGCAGTCTTACTTGCATAATATTCTCTCTTATTTTTGGGATTGTCTTAATATTTTGTCATTTGATTTTTCTTTTGACCTTTGAGTTGACTATTTTGGGTACTTGACAATTTACATTTGTATACGTGTGTATATATTAGGTTGTAGTCTTATGAGACCCTTTATAAGACATATATTGCAGATAGATAGATAGGGTTACATCTTCCTTCAGCTTCACTCCAGGTTTCTCACTGCGTTAGGTTGGCAGGGGGAAATATGCTGTTTGATATTTTAGAGCATTATAATTGAGAAACCCATTTTTTTCCTAAGCTGCACTTAATGGAACCCAGAAGTTTCCGCCCAAAGTATGAATTGTGATAAATGTGCTTCATTTTGAGTCTTTCTGCAGGAGAGTGAAACTGTATGCAACAGATGAGTGAGGGCACCACTGTTATACAAACAGCTGGTGAACAACTTAAGCAGGGAATCTTTTATTTGTTTGTTTGTTTCAGTGACAGAAGGAGAGATAAAGAGCGAGCAACTTTTTATGCATTTGCACAGCTTTACTGAAGATATCCAACAGAGATAGAGAAATATCTGTTTAAGGAGGTAGTTTGTGTTAGGGAGATACAAAGTGCTTATTCAATTTCTTTGCCCAAGGGACCACAGAAAAAAAGAACCTGAGTGATAAGATGAGCAATAAATTAATGTCCAATTCCAAATAAGCACACAGCTGTAGCCGAGTAAGAGGGAGGGTCCAGTTTTTAGTGTGCGAAATGTGAGCACCATTAATGAATGCAATGTATATAGATACAAAATGAGATCAGTTATAGAAACTTTATCGCCTTTTTTACAATGCAAATGACTGGCCGAAGTTTTGAAAGAAAGTGTCCTGAAAACTGAGACCTTTATTTTAAAGTAATATGTGCTTCCTTGTGCTGGAGAGAGAGGGTGCAGCAACGTCCTATGGCCACATCAGAGCAGGATGACTCACTGAGAGGGGCCTGGAGCATCAGCAGGCACTTTGTGGGCACGTTGAGACAGGCTCTCCCCAAAATCCAGCAGAGTGGGTGCTTTGGTTAAGTTAGGACTCTCGTTTAAATAAGGCATGTATGAGGACAAGACTTGACTAAGGCAGAGCCTTTTATAAACGATGAAGTGGCACATTTGAAAGAAAATTTCTAAGCGTATGCATTCTAAAAGCAGTTTGTGATCCTTGCTAAATCTTTCAAGTGGATCTCAAGTGTATACAGTGGCTGTGGTTACAGCTATGGATGCACAGTTTTGTTTCAGGCTGAATTAGAGGATGTAATTTTGTGGCACTGTTCCTTCTGCAGTGCTGTACCCTGTTTATCGGCCTTTTGCACCTTAATAAGAAAGAAGCAAGATTTGAATGCACTTTGTTACTGAGAGGGGCACTTTTTAGTTAAAAGAAACGGGTACTTTTAAACAAAAGAGCAAATGTGCTAAGCAAAAAGTCCCATCCAAGTGGTGATACTTAGTAGGTTTTTTTTTTATTATTATTTTGACTTGTTCATTTTGTTTAGGTCTTGACACCGAGCTTCCAAAAAGTGCAGTCACTAAAGAGAAAGAAAAGGGTGAGGATTTTTATTGATTTAAATTGTTGATGAAAGCGTAACAAAGAATAGTAATGGAGATATATCATATCTTTCATATATATATATAACTTGAATGATTTTAGCAAATGGCTGCAATATAACAAAGAGTGAAACATTTAAGGGGGTCTGAATACTTTCCGTACCCACTGTACATGAAAGCATAATGATTAATTGCACTTAAAGTTGATTTAAAAAGTTATCTATTTTGTCTTAATACAGAAGAGAGTAAAGATGTGAAAGCATCTGCAGGGATTTATGATAATTATCTACAACTACATACTCCTCCTGTGTAGTTTCTGTCAGTGCATTGTGATATGTTGAGTTTTGGTGGTCAAGTGTAGTGTTCACTTTAAATTTGTTGTTGAAGGCCACACCCTAAGCATCACACTACTGTACATTACAAAGAAAGATTTTGTGTGACTGGACGACACGGCAGAATTAATCCTTCTGGAAATTGCAGTGTGTGAGCTTGTGTTTTTTCACACCCCAAAACGCTCAGTTAATAATACATCACATCACATGCCTGCAAGGGTGTGTGGTAACACATTGACCTAGACCATCTCTTATCAACTGTTTCACTCATTGCCTGCGTTCATCCCATATGAATTTCACGGTAGCTTTTAGATTTATTTCCGAGGTGTATATGTACCTATGCCACGGCCCAAATTTATTCTCTCTCATTATAGAAGCAGAAGTTGGAGTATAATTGTTGTGGAAAAAGCTTACTTGAGTTCCCTTTCTGTCTATTTTTTTTCTGTGATATTAAGTGTGAGTTTAAAATTTGCAATGCTTTCTTTTTTATTGTAAAATATGTTGCTGCAGCTTGTTTGTTTTCTAGCAAAGATAATGCTAGCTGTGTTTGTGGGGTTTTGGGTGAAATGGTGGTGGATAATAGGGAGGGTTAGGTGCGTGGGAGGGGAAGGGAGGTACAAAGCCTGATAGCACTGGAAATGGTGCTTTAGCTGAGATAGAGTTTTTGCACTAAATGTCACTCATGTCCTTGTCCTTGGAGGAGGGGGACTGGAGAACCGGGCAAGGCCTTTGAGTTTCTGTGAACACAGATTCTGTTTAATCTCCACTTCACTTCCCAATACTTGCATCTGCAATTAACTCTTTGAAAACCAAAGTAGGGAAAGACTAGAATTACTTGAAGACTATTCTTGGCCATTAGAAGAAAGAGGTGAATCTTACATTTTCAACAATGGGCTAAACAAAACCAATTCCTAGACGAGCGTAGGTCAAGAGTCCAAAGCAACTCCAACAGAAATAAGCAGCTTGAGGATAGACAGTATTCATGGAATGGCTTATTTCAAACAGTTAACAGGATCAAACCCTAAGCATCTGTGTCTGCGTAGAAGTTTGGTGGAGTTAGAGGTCTTTGTGAGTTCGCACAGACTCATTGGCTTGATCTGGAGGGGGGCGTATGCTTTGTTCAGTGGGTCCAAAAGGAGTCGGGGCAGAGTCTTGAAGCTTGACAATTGGAGAAGGATTCTGGAGAGAATGTGCCTTAACTTAAAAGGAGATTGGGAAGATTCTTCAAAAGATGGCTTCCATTCCAGCTTCTCAAATGATTCTTGAATACTTGTTGGTTGAAACTATGTTCTGTTGTGGACATTTCTAAGAACCAAAAGGTTAAATAAGATCTTTGTCCAGAGATTGTCTAATACACCTCAATTTGTAAATACAACTAGTTATAATTTTCTCCTGGAAAAATGTTGATTGCAGTGGGAAGATTCTGTCATCTTCCATTTAGCGCTGTTTATTGCTTCCGCCCCAATCGTGACTCCACTGACAGACACTACAGCGAGAAAGTGTCTCAAAAAACCATTTCCATAACTTTAAAAGCACCATGTATGTAATATCCAAATATTAATCTATTTGTGTTTTTGTTTAATTTATTGGACAGGATGTCAAAAAGCATTAAAGATTACAATGACAGTGATAACCGTAATAATCATGGAAGATAATCTTATTACAATTTTAGATGTTATGGCTGGGTCGAAGCACAACTAGCTGAGGATGACATAATGCATGGCTAGATTCACACATTTGTTCTCACCTGATCCACTGCTGTTAGATGCCCAGCGGGCATGTTGCACAAGGAGCGGCTCATGGGCGGTGGCTACTAGTTTGCACAGATTGGGGAGGGTGGGTAGCATTTTTGTGCAGCTTGGGCAGGGGAACTATGTCTTATAAGGGGTTGTTTGGAGAGCCTTGTCAGGTATTGCTGTGCCATTCTGTGTACCTAAGGAATGTATAGCCATCTACGTCTTTGACTGCCTCAGCTGGTTATGTTTCACTGATCAAGGAGATGTTCGGGAGAGCAGATGTCAGAGGTTATGGTGGGAGGCAGGGGGATTTTGGGATTATGGGCCATTGTCTATGCTTCTCAGGTTAAATAATCAAGGCAGTCCATGTCCATTTTTGTTGTTTGGTTTAAGCTCAAAATTTGCCTTCTGTGTAATCAAAGCTTTATTGTACTGAGAGTACACCAACCGAATATATATTATGAGTATTGAAGATGATATCGAAAAGCCAACTACCCATGTGACCACAACACCCTCATTTTTGTTTCGCCTAATAACTGTACATTCTTTTCTAGTGTAGAAAACAATGGCAAAATGTCTTTTTTTTTTAATGCATGTTTTAACATTCTGGAACGGTGAGTGGTGTATTGTCTCAGAATGAGGCCAAGACATAAGTGAATTGTGGGATGGAGACATCAAGTCTGAGGTCTTCAAGTCAAGGATGCATTCCATAACTTCCTCTTAATAGCTGTTAGAACGAACAGATGCAGGTAGACGGAAAAGAGGCGGTTTGTTAAGTCTTAAAGGACTTTCTTAAAAGTTTTTCACTTTTCCTCTACCCAGAATGTGCAGGGAAGAAAGTGTGTTGGGCTTCACAAAGCCATCAAGCTGTTAGCAGTTCTGTGATTGTAACAAAAAAAAGCACTTTGCGAAAGGCCATCCAGAATATTGTGTGCTATCTCCTTTGGTTATTACTGTTATTGTTATTGTTTTTTCATCTTGTTAATGCAATTTTTTTTGTTATCATTGTGGATGTAATGATTTATTTAAATGCAAAAACTACATGAAAAGAAAAGAAACTTGAACATGCGATATATTTGGGTTGAAGTCCATTTGAACTGCCGCCCCGTACCACACACATCTCTGGAAATACACACGAAACAAGGAATGGCATATGTTCAAGTTGTCATACATGCTTTCTTTTAACAGTTTTGCACCTTTAAACCCAAATCTCATTACAAAGGACTTTACATTTGCTTAAATGACATTTCTTCCTGGGTTTCCATTGTTCTGCAATGTGCTTCATAGACAAATACAGAGTTTATAAGAGTAGATCTAGATTATTGGTATTGTTAGAGCTTAAATATCCCAAACAATGTCCACTAAACAGCTGCAGATACGCAACTTGCAACCTTGTCCAAGACAGTCAGATTTGGACCATTATACAACTTTCCTGCATATGGACAATATATGACATTTTTTAATTACTTTCCTTCTATGTTGTTAGACAGTAAAATACATTTTCCATATTGTTTTTGCATAAAGTTTAAGAGTTTATAAGGGACTCGTTATATACTCTATTCAAAGCTCATTTCTTACATCAAATCTGTACGCTTAATTCATTATGTGGTTAATCAGCTGAACGGACGGACACAAGTTCTGCACAGAAAACAATAATTAATTTTCAGGCTTTGGGGGCACTTTTGAACACTTATGTTGACTTTGGGGCGGCAGAAAACTCCCAGTGTCTCAGGCTTGGACAGCAGAAACCCTTTTTTTGTTTTGTTAATTCAAGTCCTGTTCCTTTCCATTGTCTGTCAGTGTGTGTTGAAGCTATTGAGATGTACAGGAGAATTTGCACTTTTGGCGATGAAAAGAATTTGTATTGTATATGAGACCACTAAATCTACATCGTCTAAATCAAACAATTCCATGTTGTTTTCCTTTTTCATTTTATTCTTTTTCTTTTCTTTTTTGTTTTGTTTTATTTTTACAAAATATATCCAAAAATGTCTGACATTTAAGAAATAAGACATTTCTATTAAAAACAGAATGTTTACGACCTTCCTGTCTTTGTATGCTACAGAATTTTTTTTTTTTTTCTAAAAGAACAAGTGTTTAATACAGGTTTAATATGTTTATATTTATAAATATGTATATGATTAAGATGAAAAGGAAGCTGTCTCTCAACCATTCTGGAAAAACACTTCTTTGGCCAAGCTGGATTTTAGTTAAGAGGCCAGCTGAAAAGTGCCCAAAATCCCTCTAAAACCAGCCAAGAGGTTAGTTAGCCTTACCAGGCTGGGAGACTAGTTTCTAGTTGATGTTTTTACAGTTGTGAATGTAAGTTGTTTTAGTCCAACAAGTCGCTGAATTTGTCCGCACACTGAAAAGATTTTCCAATCAGACCAAAAAAGGTCTCTCAAAAATGTTGTTTTTATTATCCATATGCAGAAGTGAAAAAAGTGACAAAACTGCAAAGTGTATTAAAAACAGACCCAAAGAGCAGACGTTTCAGCCCATGCTTTCTTCAGTGCTCATTTTTGAGAGAGCTTTTTTGGTCTGATTGGAAAATCTTTTCAGTTTTCGGACAAATTCAGAGACTTGATGGACTAAAACTTTCTCCCTTTTGCTCTACGCACCTGAGAACTCATTGTTCTTTTTGAGTGCACACAATTCCTGTTTGATGAATGTAAGTTGTTTGCAATTTCAGAGTAAACAAAACTGTATCTTTCTCCTTGATTTTTTTGGTAGAATTTGTCTAACATATAAACTGCGATACTTAATACTGACACCTATCAGTGTGGATGCAACATTACACAAAAACTAAAGTTTTAGCCTGCCGAGGTTGTATTTGCAAGC